TTGCTTAAATTCAGTTTTTTATCCATATGGCAAAGGGTAGGAACACTGGGCACATTTCTTAACACCGGTTGTCTATGTTCACCCATCAGTAAAAATGGATACCTGGGTGTTAGTCGACTGGTGTGGGTCACATCCTGGGACAAAACTGACCTAATTTGCCCGAAATGCTCTGCATAACAAGCGGCTTTCTATGTAATAGTATGTCACTGATGTCAGCTAGGCCTGTATACCTTGTACATGTATGTACTTGTAGAAAAAAAGTGCTAGTTATGGCTATGTGCTCTTGTCTGTTAAGTAGGATTTGAAGTAGATGTGTGTGCCCTATGAGTCCACAGTGATTTAGTTTACAAAGAAAAATATTGTGATCATCCATATAAAAAGCCTTATGCAGATCAATAAAAAGTTCACTAGAATAATTGTTTTTCGAGTGCTACATAAATTGAGTCGAGCACTCTTGTGTTTGCATCATTAGTGATTTTTTGAAGGTCTGAATCCTGAAAATGGCAAGGAGTAAGCATTAATATTTTGGTAAGTACAGCTGCCTATGAATTACTTTCTAATATAATTTTTATAGCACAGAACCCTGACCTTTATATTATGAAGTTTTGTGCTTACAACACTGGCATTTTAGAACCAATTAATTACTTAAGAGGGTGACTTGCACTTCCAGTTGTGAGGACTACTTACAATGGCTTAATCATGCCTAGAATAAGCAAGAAATATATCTTCCATTAAGCAAGACAAGATCAGTATTCAAGGTAAGTAGTGTACACAACATATTGTTAAATATTTTATTAATTAATATGTGCACATTGTACAAATACTGTTTTGTTGCAGATACAATTGAGGAGGCATATTGAAATTAAGATATTGGGTAAAAATTCTTTGGAAAAAATAAATGAAATTAGATACAGAAAATTAAGAGTTTGAGAATACAGTGGACCCTCGGTTTTCATGTTTAATCCATTCCAGAGAGACCTTTTTCCCCATAAGAAATATTGTAATATAAATCCAATTAATCCACTCCAGACACCCAGAAGGATTAACCAAAAATTTTTTTATTTACCTTGGATATATTAGATATATAGATATATTAGATATATTAGATATATTTTCATATAGTCTGACTTGAGTCCTGGAAATGGGAAGTACAATGCCTGCACTTTAAAGGAGGGGTTTGGGATATTGGCAATTTGAAGGGATATGTTGTGTATCTTTATATGTGCATGCTTCTAAACTGTGTATTCTGAGCACCTCTGCAAAAACAGTGATAATGTGCGAGTGTGGTGAAAGTGTTGAATGATGATGAAAGTATTTTCTTTTTGGGGATTTTCTTTCTTTTTTTGGGTCACCCTGCCTCGGTGGGAGACGGCCGACTTGTTGAAAAAAAAAAATTTACATGCACAAAATAATGAACATTCAACATGACACTTAACTTTATTGAAGACTGTTGTTGGTGGATGGAAGACAGGGATGGATCGAAAGGGAGTCCTTATCCGAGGTCACTTCCCATCATTTTTTTTTAATGCCACTAGGACCAGCTTGAGTCACTGGACCCCTGTCACACAAAATATCTGTTCAGATAGGTCTGTTTCTGGTGTCTCTAAGATTTGCCTAAAATGGGACATGTCATTGTCATTGTAAAAGTTGCCAGCACAGATTGCAACAGCTTTCTCAGGGTGATGTTCTTCCACAAATGAATGCACCCTACTCCACATTGCACAAATCTCCTTAATCTCTGAAGAAGGTACCTTCTCCCATCTCTCTTCCTCCTCTGAAGCAATTTCCTGAGCTGTGGTCTGTTGCTGTTGCAGATGAAGCTCTTGCAGCTCAGCTGGTAGCTTCTTGATTGTGATCCTTACACCAACACTTTCCTCCATCCTGGCCACTCGCAGCCAAACCCCATGGGAATACCCCAAGGCCACAATACTTTCCACAACAGCAGAGGTCGACCAGGGCAGCCCCAAAAATCCCTTCAAAATTCCCTCCTCTTGGACACAATCTGGCCACAATTTTCCTCCAAGCATAGTTCTCACATGGAAGCACTCCGCCAAGCCTTATGTATAAGCTTTATGCAGTGAAGATATTGAATGATCCGTCCAAAAAACACTCTAAGGTCAATTCAGAGTCCGAGTTATGTCAAAGCAAACCGTTGAAATATTACTTTGGTGTAAGTATTTTGAAGTTATGTAGGAGGCAATGATCTGCTGGTCCATGGGCTGGAGAGAGAGTGGTTTTAAAGGCAAGAACTTTACTGTTACAAAACTGTATACCTTTAGAGAACTGATCTCCAAGTCTGAGTATGAGCAGGCTCATTTTGTCCATTAACGGAGGGCATTGGTGTGAAAATTATTATCCAGGAGGTAATCTTCACACCAAGGCCAAAAAACGTCCATTGAAACCATTCCACAAAAATTTCCCCGTGACCCATTCCCTACTGTTAGTCTTCACATCACACACAATTTACTCTGACAACGCTGTTTATCTTGTACACACTGGGAATTTCAGAGTGATACACCAATACAGCTTCACTTTGAAATCCCCCCTAGCAATACTACACAACATGAGTGTTAGCCTGTCTTTTTTAGGCTGTGTCCGGGGAGTGCCTCTTCCTCCTGCATGATGTAGGCCCTCATTGCATTTTCTTCCATAAAAAAAAAAAAATATAATAAAAAAAAAAAAAAAAAAAAAAAAATTAAAAATAAAAAATTAATAAATTAAAAAATCCAAAAAAACAAATAATAAAATAAAAAAAAAAAAAAAACAAAAAAACAACATTGCAACAAATACAACATAAAAAAAATAAACAAAAACAAAAAAAAAAAACCTTTACAACAAATTACCACAACAACCCATAATACATACTACAACAACCCCCAACTCAAACCCCCCCCCCAACCCCCTAACTATTATAACTCTCCCCCCCACTCCACATTAAATACCACACACTTAACTAAACCCACCACCACACTTCAACAAAACAAAAAAAACCACTACCATTATCAAACCAAAACCTACCTTTTACTTTTACCACCAAATAAATAACCCCTTCACAACAACTCCCCACACACCCAACTCAAACACATCTTCAACCAACCCCACCCCACCCCACCAACCCCTCCCCCCCAACCCCACAACCCCCCCCCCCCCCCCCCCCACTCCCCACCGCTCCCACCACCCAACCCCCCACCCCCCCCAACCCATCACCCCCCCCCACCCATACCCTAACCTCACCCACCCCCCCCCCACTTCCCCCATCCACCCCTCCCCCCCCCCCCCCCCCCCACCCCTCCCCCCCCCCCCCCCCCCCACCCCCCCCCCCCCCCACCCACCCCCCACCCCAACCCCCCACCCCCCCCACCAACCTTAGCCCCCCCAACCCCCCCCCCTCCCCCGCCCCCCCCACCACCCCTCCACCCCCTCCCCAACCCCCCCCCACCCCCCCCCACCCCCCCCCCCACCCCCCCCCCCACAACCCACCCCCTCCCTCCCCCCACCCCACCCCCCACCCCCCCTAACCCCTCACCCGATCCCCACCCCCCCCCCCCCCTCCCCTCCCCCCCCCCCCCCCCACCCCCTCTTCCAGAAAAGAACACTAGCCCCTACTGAAGGTGCTGGACAAATTCAGCCACTATAAAAAAAAAAAAAAAAATAGCAAAGACTTCCAGCACCCATTTATTACAGCTGCCAGATTTATCAGACACTGGCAATCCACACCATGCCTTACCAACCCAGTGTATCCACTTCTACGCTTCTTGAATTTTTTCGAACCAGCCTTTTGCTGGCTTAACATCTACCAACATCAGCACTCGTTCCAGCATTTCTTTATGAGATCGTCATGCAACTGCCTTGCTTTTTCACAAATTATCGACTGCACTACACTTTCACCTCCCGCTTACTGCTTTCTGTTATGATCCACACCAACAACAATTTTCACACATCTTCATTGTTTTTGGGATCTCAGTTTTCTTTAATTGCATTCACCCCTTTCACATCAGCTTCCACGATTCCTTTTATCTTTGCCAAAATGGAACTGATGGTTGATGGCGCCTTCCTGTACATCCTGCCGAGGTCAGCAATACATATGCCACTCATATTTTCCAACGAAATCTTTTTGCATTTCTACGGTGTTCCTCACTTTCTTTACCAAAGGACTGGCACTAGGAGTTTTCTTTGGGCCCATGGTGGCTTATTTAGCAGTCACACACAAGAAACAAGTGCCAAAAACAATGGATTATTACGAAATGTTTCGTATGACTTTGTAGGATATGTTCATTCAACGAGAAACACGTGAACACAGCCATCAGAATGCTCGTGGGAGGCCGCTTATTGGTGCAACGCTGGCACTCTGGACAGGTTCTGAGTACCAGCAACAAAAAATGGAGAAATCGAAGAAAACAAACCAAAATAATTTTGATTAAAAAACTCGTCGCAAAAACGAAATTTTGATAACGAAGATCGACAAAAAGGGAGGGTCCACTGTACATTAATTCATTTTGCATTGTTTGCTATGGAAAAATAGGTACTGAGTAATACTAAACATTCAATGTATGATTAATTTCCAGGACTGCATTAACATCATAAGTTAATCTAATGTACTGGTAAATTAGATATTGGTTTCTAATTGAGGACAGCATCTCAGTTACTACCTTTGTGAATAGGGGTTATTCTGGTCTGGAAGGACATGTTCAAATGAGTTGTTGAAATGCATTGTAGATTTCTTGTAGATAATGGTAGATATAACTTGTGTGTTATGTAGCTGAATTTAGTGATTTAACAACTGAAGAGGGCTGTGAGGTTAGGAATCAGGGTTGCAGGGAAAAACGGGAAAATTTGAGTCCAAGACCTTTTTGATAGCACATGTTCATGGCAAGATACGAGTGCAAGGTGTGAATCCAATGGGGGTTAAGGATAAAAACTAGAATTTAGATCATTCTAGAAGCCTTGGTTATATTTATATTACTATTTTTTTTTTTTTTTGAGGTAAGACAAATATGACATTTTGATGTACATTATTTATTTATATAAATATCACATGAGTTTTAAAACACTTGAAGTAAAAATATATACGTGCACATCACTCTGTAAACCTAATTTTCTACATTTTGAATTACATGAAATTAATTTCATACTCTAATTCACAACACATTATTAGTAATGAAATTGGTAGAAAAATTAGTATGCGTACTATATATATGATATGCATATATTTAACAATTAATTTGCAGATGTAATTTTTATGCTAACATGATTTTGAGACTAAAAGATTGAAGCTTAATTTATGGGTCAACAAATGAAACTATAATATATCTTGTCCCTTGTGTCACACGAAGGCCTTCATGCAAATGAGTGAGTCGTCCAGGATGCATCAATACCCACCCAACTCGAGAATTTGTAATGGAGCAGTTGTACCTCACAAATCTACAACCTCCACCCTGCAATAAGAATAAATAAATACACTGTAGATAAGAATTATTGAATCATGAGTATTCTTATAAATATTGTATATTAAAAATGTACTATCAAGGTTGTTTAGTATATTCATTGTTAAATAGAGAATTTGTCAAGTATAAAATTAAGAATACAAATCCTGACATGTACAGAATATAACCCCCCATATGTTCTTAATTTTGCACTTACAGAATCCGTAAAGTCTATTTAATTAAACCTTTGACTGTATTCAAACAAGCCAGTGTTTTTCGACTATGAATACACCTATCATTCTCTAAGCAGATTCAAATCAATCGGAGAAAACTGGTAGCCCCACATGTGAGAGAATGGGTCTGTGTGATCAGTGTGCACTGTATAAAAAAATCCTGCAGCACGCAGTCATAATGAGAAAAAAAAAAACTCCGATCGGTGTTTTTGTATTAAACCGCTGATAATGTGATGTATATACGTATAGAAAAATAGTAGAATTCTTGTTTTCTTGGTCTCATTTGAAAGAAATGGAAAAACATAATAAAAGAAATAATAGATGATTTTGATTAGTTTTATTACCCCCCCACAAAGAAAATGACCTTGAATTGAGCTCAAAGTAGCAGACTGTTCAATTTATTACCAATGTTCCAAAGTAAGCAAATCACACCACACGTCCAATACACGTCAACTGGGGAGTTTAAAATTCTTTCATTATGCACTAATAATTTCTACTATTTTTATTACAATAATGCAGTATCTGCATAAACAGTAAACTTCTATTTTTTTGTGTAAATAAAAAATCAAAATAGAAAGCAAGAGTAACATAAGAACAGAGGATAAGTTATTTTAGTGCGAAGAATGTCTGCATTGTTTATTCTGGATCCTATTTTGAAATTGGCCTCTTTTTTAATTTGCATGAAACACGACAAATTGCCATTTTCTGACCACTTTATTGGGTAGTTGAAATCGGTAAATGGGTGGTTTCTTGTACTCAATTGATAGAAAAAGTGGAGTTCTCAAGAAATAGCTATGAGTTTGGTCGACTGGAACAATAGAATTGGCTGAAAATAGGGCTCAAAGTTGGCGAAATCGCCAATGTGTATATATCACCGAGATCGCTAACTTCGTGGGAGCGTAATTCCGTAAGTTTCCGATCAAATTTCATACTTCTGGTGTCATTACCATTGGAAAAAGATTCTCTATCATTTCATAAGAAAAAATAAAAAAAAATTTCCCAAAAATTTTGCGACACCAGGAGACTTCAGGATTTGGGTTGCGACAGACAAAGGGTTAACAATAATTGAAAAATGAAGTGTATCTAACCATAGCACAAAAACACTGTCCACTGGCCACTAATAAAACAATGAAGACTGCCTCTATATCATAATAAAAATAAAGAACAAACACTACTGCCAAGTTAGAAAATGGGCTCCACCCAGGCAGGGTGCAATGAGAGACGAGTGCATGTCTAAATGTGGTGAGGGAGGCGAGACGGGAAGGGGAATAGTTATCCATTTTCTTTTGACTTGGCACAACACACTTTAAATGAAAATCAACTGTAGGATTTTGTTCAAATATGCTCATCATTTAATTTCCCACATACCACAATTTAATTACAAGCCCATCACAGGATTTTGTTCACAATGTGCTCAATGGATTTACTACACCCAAAAATATTCCTTTTTATCTTCTTATTTTTTCATATAAATGCCAGTATGCACCTGGAGAAGAGAGAAGTGTAGAGGAGAGAGAGAGATTTTGGGAAATGTTGAGTGAATGCGTGGGGAGTTTTGAATCAAGTGTGAGAGTAATGGTGGTTGGGGATTTCAATGCTAAAGTGGGTAAAAATGTTATGGAGGGAGTAGTAGGTAAATTTGGGGTGCCAGGGTAAATGGAACTGGGGAGCCTTAATTGAGCAAGTGTAGAAAAGAGATTTGGTAATAAGTAATACATATTTTATGAAAAAGAGGATAAATAAATATACCGTAATGATGAAGCACGTAATGCAAAGTAGATTATTATATTATGACTAGGTGGATAAAAGGTTGATGGGTAGGTTTCAGCTGGACATGATTATAGAGGGGCAACTGATATATCAATCATTATTTAGTTGTAGCTACAGTTAGATTAAGGAGGTAGAGGGAAAAGAGGAAGGTGGCAACAACAAGAAGAGGGAGTGAAAGTGGTATAAACTAAGGGAGGAAAGGTTCGGGTGAGATATTAACGACTATCTGCAGCACGATGAGTGCTAGTGCAAAGATGAGTATTTGGGGGGTGGTTGAAGAGGTTGGAATAGTTTTAAAAATGCATTATTAGAATGTGGGGCAGAAGTTGAGGATATAGGAGGGTGGGGCAGGATAAAAGAGGAGTGATTGGTGAATATGAAGAACGGGTGTGATAAAAGCGAAAAAAGGAAGCTTATGAAAGGTTTTTACAAAGCAGAAGTGTTTATCATAAGAGCAGAGTAATGGAGTAAAAGAAGGTAAGAGAGAGAGGAGGAGAGAGTGCAACAGGAGAGCAGAGATAAGAGGGGAGGAGGCACTGTCAAGAAATTTTAATGAAAATGAGAACACTTTTTGGAGTGAGTTAAACCCGATCAGAAGAGCCTAGGGAAAGTATGATTGTCAGTTTAAAACAGAGTAGGGGAGGTATAGCTAGGGGAGCAGGAGTATTAGTTAGATGGCGAGAATATATTAGGAACCTTTTAAATGTAAAGGAAGAAACAGAGGCAGTAATTTCTTGCACTGGTCAAGGGAGGTATACCAACTTAATAGGAGTGAATAAGAGAAGAAAAGTAAGTGTGGGGGAGGTACGTGAGGCATTACGTAAAATGGAAATGGGGTAAAGCAGCTGGAAACAGATAGGATCATGACAGAAATGTTAAAAGCAGGGGGGGATATATGTTGGAGTGGGTGGTACTTTGTTTAAAAAATGTATGAAAGAGGGGAAGTACCTAGGAAGGTATGAGCTTGGACTACACCAGCAGCTCGCAAGACTGCCATCCCCCCCACGAGCCCCTTTGGGGGGGGCAGATGCAAGACCAGAAGCCTAGCTATTCTTCACCCTCTAGCGATCCCCGAGAGGGCGGGGACTGTTGGGCTAGGCCTGGCCACTTGTTCCCACAGATAGGGGTACTTGTACCTCCTCCCCATAGGATACATTAGGTCTCAAGATACTCCCCAGATAAGGAGCCAAGGCCCGGGTCCCCACTTACTAGGGAAAGAACCCGGCCGGAGAATAACCCCCGCGGCAAATAAAAAAAAATAAAAAAAAAAAGGGGTGGTACCTAATGGAATGGCAGAGAGCATGTATAAGACCTTTATATAAAGGAAGGGACAAAAGAGACTATAAAAATTATACCTCTTCTTCAAGGGGGCTCCTGGCGTGGTGAAAGGCTTCCTTGGTCTGAGGAATTAGCCCTGTCGTCCTTCTTCCTCAGACCGAACCTAATTACCCCCCTTCTCCCCTCCCCTATCCCAACCTCCCCATCCTCACCCTTTTTCATTCCTCCTCCTCCTCCACCCCCTACCCTTTTGCCTCTTCCTCTTTTTAGCCTTCGTGATTTCCCCTCACAGGCCCTAGCGTCTAGTAGGGAAAGGACACCGGGTTCCATCCATTCCGTAGGTTTCTTGGCGGTGCGTAGATTGCCGTGGAATCTGGATGCCAGGAAGTCCGATCCTCACTCTCCGGTCTCCCGGAGAGCTTTGGGTGTCTTTTGGGCGCGGGTTTATCCTCTCTGGAAGCCACCTTTCGTATATCCGGGGTGGAGGCTGAAGGAGTATGCTTTGTGGCGGATATCCGGGCGCCGCCCTCTCTTTTGTCCACCGAGGTAGCCTCGGCATGTGAGGTTGCAATCCCAGATTGCTGGTTTAACTGGCAAAGGGTAGGGTATGCACGTTCCATGCTGCATCTGCGCTACTAGCGGTGTCAGTCCTCTTGGGCGCGGAGGGAGATTCTGGCCCTTTCATTCCCTCCTAGGAACTATCCCTTCCCCGGTCCCCCCTTTTTTTTTTCTTTTATTTTTTATTTTTATTTCTTTTCTATCTTTCTTTTTTTTTCTTAAAACAAAAAGAAAGAAGTAACCTAAACCATAGCAGGCCCTATCCATGAAATCCTGGTACCCCCGGGCCCCCTTCTTGATACCGCACCCCGTTTCTGACCCCGCTCGTCTTTGGACCACACTTCAGACATTCCTCATGCCTCTGTACCTATTGCCGGAGCTTTTCCTCCACAGCCGCTTTCAGGTACTGACGGCCTTCGACCTGACTCTTCGATTGAATCAGACCTTCGCTCGTCACTCTGACTATGCTTCCGGCCTCTCCTCTACGTGTGGCAATTTTCAAATCGCCGACCCGTTCCACTCGGACCAACTCTGGTCACCACCCTAAACGTCAACGACAAATACCTGCTGATGATACATCTTCTCACCTTCACCTTCTACGTTCTTGCTCAGAAACGATCGACAGACGTCCTTCACTTAAACCTTCCATCGCTCAGTTTCAGACGGAACAGTGGACTAAATTCTTCCCTTAACGACCAACTTCCTCTACTGCCTATCTTTCGACCATAGTATTGCAAGGCACTCCTACGCCATGTTGGGAAAGATATTTCCTTTTCATGCCTTAAGAGCGGTACCGCAACATTAATTAACCGTACAGAATGCAACCCAGGCGCGTGAGCTCTCTCGTCTTTTCTTTCCATAAGATACTGTTCCAGTCACACCTTGAAAAACATCAATCCTCATTCTTGTAGTGGTAGTATACAGTTTCATCCCCTAAACCATAGTTCAAACAAAATTTCCATACTATGAGGCACGACATTCTAGAACAGCTGGAAACTCCAAGAACACCCAATCCACGGAATACACACTTACGATCTTCCTGCGCCGTGGCGGAACGATACCCCTAGCAATTGTGGCTCGTTTAACTTTTATGACACCGAGAACTCCCATCCCTCCGTTTATATAGCAGTACATCGGTTACAAGTTTCGAAAGTGATCCTACACACCACAACA